TCTTCAATTTTTTCAATGAGTGTATTTCTACTTCGTATTTTTTCAAATTCATTGATATAGAGATATAGAGAGAGACAGCATAGTAATGATTAAAACGATTTTCATTCGCCCATATTTCACGTTTTTTGCTAAAACAAATGAAAATATCAGAACAAACATCTAAATGTTTCTTGATGTGTTGGTACTATAGATAGATTGCAAATTACTTCTAGAAGTTGTCTCCCAGCCCTCGAAAAAAATCCAATTCTATCTTCAAAACAGGCTGCGTGATTTCAATGTGGTCAGTGGTAACCGATGCTTCGCTATCGAGGTCGTGGCACTGCGCAAATCTCTGGGAGCAGACCGAAAGCTGAGATCCGAGCCCCTCCCACACTCCTTCACTCCTTCCACTTCTGCATTTGCAAACACAATCAACCGGTCTTGACATGTTTGAGTCTGCCACCTTCCACTGCAACTTGCACTGTAGGGGAGCGTGGGACTGATTGCCATGGTGGTGAGGACATATTTAGAGCAGCTTGCAAGTTTTCCGAGCCGTTTTCAAACACCGTGTGTAATCGATCACCTTCGTCGAGAGCTGCCGAGTGGAACCGCCAACAGCTCGGCATCGATGCTTCCTGGACATGCACTTCAATTTGGTTTAGCTCTGCTTCTACCTCTGGGTACCATTGCGGTTGTGCTCGCAGTTTCCGCATTCGTTCTCAGCTCTATTTGCTTGGAGCCATGGAACCTCGTCGACGCAGCACTTCCACCAGCCCGGCATCGTTCTCTTTGCTGTGAGCGACCACCGGCTCAGTCTCCACGGCCACAGGTTCCACCATGGTTCCTCAGACTGTTGGGGCCCAAGGCGTCACAGGCTCGTGCTTCGGTCTTGAGCACTAAGGAGCAGAATACACCAGTGGTCAGAAATTCAGATTTCTGGAGTTAGAGATCTATGCGTCCATGAGCGCCAAAGCATGACGACTCGATGCAAACTCCCAACAACCGAAGCAACATTGCGCAGCCACGGAGCTGTCATGGTTGTTTCCGCGAGCTTGCCGATGCTGGTATTTTCCCTTCAGGTGCTGCAACTCCTGTGCTGCTCCCAGCGAAACTCTAGTGGGCTCTGTGAAGTTCTGCTTCAGCCGTGCCAGAGCCTGGCTTCCCTCGCACAAAACTGCAGCAAATTTAATGCTCTTCACCTCCCGGGTCCTCCGCGTTACGTTCAGCGCGGCTGTGCTGCCGCCTTGGGACCCGCAGATCACAACGCAGGTGCCGAATTCTAAAATGCTTTGGTGTTGGCTTGTATGCGGGATTCTACTGAATGTGAGTGGCCTCAAGCACTCAACGTTCTAAGCATGGTGGAAGCTCAATGGAGCAAACCCGAGAACTCCCATGCGCAGTCGTGCCTCAGCTCATCCTGTAATTGTTGCGACTCCAGAAGAAGATCGGATCGCACCTCATCTAGCTTTGGAATTGGAATCGCCGAGCATCTACGCACAGCCATGTACATAAATCAAGCAGAGGGTTGCGGGCAGCTCATGCATTGCGTGGGATCGCCGAAACCGAAGGCACGAACTAACGACAAACAAACAGACGTGGTTGTTCATCTGAATGCCCCTCATTTGCACGAGAAAAATACTTTGGCAAAAGCTGCGTGCCATCGCGAACTGAAATTTACACATCTTGGCACGTTACCCGAGAACTCTTCAGGGGCTGCTTCGTGGCCTGAACCGTTTCTTGGAGTTTCGCAAAGGCCTCTTAAAGCCTTCTCAAGGTCTTGGCAAGGGCTTTTCGAGGATTTCTGAAAGCTTTTCTGACAATCTTCCTGCGAATTCTGGGGTGCTTGGCTCTCCGATAGCCTTTCATGGTTTTCCAGTGTTTCTTAAGGGTGACTGAAAGGCCTCCTGCGGGTTCCTCAGATTTAGCTTGACGGGGTTCGAAAGCTGTAAGGGCGAACTTCTTGACGGATTCCTCGCGGTTTCCGAGGGCTTGTCAATTCTTCAAAGACCGTTGACAGGTTTCTCAGAGGCTGCTTACATGCTGTTTCTTATGGGCTTCTTCAGGGCTTCTGCCTTCGGGGCATACATCGCGACAATTCTCCCTCTCTACCTGAAGTTCTGAGGTGAGCATGGACTCGATAGCGTAGAAAGCTCGGACAAGTCTTTGCACATAGCTACATATTGTACAGTAGGCTTTTCTAGTACCCCCCAGCCTCGGGGAGTTGGGGGAGCTCTTGGTGTGACGCGGGCAGTATTGGCCAGTCTTCTGAAGCAAATGCGGACCTGCTGACCGGAAGGACAACAACAGATGCTCATCTTAGGAAGTACGGTCTTCATGATTGCTCTCCACCGCACGGACGGATTGCTCCATTCCGAGTGTCTCTTGCTCTAAACTAGATACCTGTTCCAGAAGGAGATGCCTGAAACGTAATTTTCACGAAGCCATCGCGGAACTGTCCCTGTTTGGGTGCGGAGAGTTGGTTTCTACAACAGCCTCCGTGTGCTTGCGACTGTGCAAACAAAGCGAAATGTCCGGCTTTTCGAAGCTGCACCTCAGCGCTCCGCTGCCAGGCACGGTCGAACCATGCAGCCCAGCGGGCACAGAGTCGCCTTGGTGCAGGCAACCGACTGAAACGAAGCTCTCAAGTACTTTTTCCCATGCCAAGCCCTCCAACTCCTTCTTCCCGGCCGTTTGTTGGACAAGTCTGTGCGGTGTCGCCGTTCACATTTTGTCTAGTGCTCTACACGAAACATGCCTATGCATCCCGTTGCTCCTTACAGCTACTGGTGCGAACTTGCGAGTTCAGCCTGTGAGCTTGGGAATTCTGATGCAACATAGACTCAATAGCTGCAAACAAGGTCACGCCGGCATTCTGTGCCAGCTTTCGTGTAAGCTGGGAAGGTTGAACGACATCCACTGAATTGCTCCGGACGTTTGGCGGCTTCCGAAAGCCACTGACAGGGGTGCCCATGCTCTCAAAACTCTGAGGCCATGCAAACTTGCCGCCATGACTCACCTTTGTTAGATTGTGCGGCAAGACACCAGCTGTGAAACAGAAGAGCCTCGTTGGCCCGTGCTGTGAACACGGCTGGACAGCCGCGTCCTCTCGTGAGCACAACGGGTCAACGCGCGACAGCATCACGGAAGACGGAAGGGCAGGGACGTCACACCTCGAACTCGCAGATTCTGAACTCCCGTAAACGCGCAGCACCCAGCCGTAACAGAACCGAGTGCCCTTACGAGACCCGGTCCTACGAGCCGATCATGCCCTGGGCAAACTGTAGCACTGCCGAATCGCTGGAGGCCTTGGCGGGAAACCCAGGCATCGAAAGCCAATCTTAGTCTTGCCTTCCAAAAAGAATAGGCCCCACACACATAGTATGGGGCCACTCTTATGGATAGCACTTTCAGTAGTCTGTAGTGATGGACCCTTACACCACGAGTCCAAGCTTCAGGGTCGCAAAGTCAACCTGGGCCCTCCACGACCCGGCGAGTATTGACAGTTTGCCTTTTTTTCATGGAAGTTACTAGAGCCTTGCAGTGCCTACTTGTACTCCTCTGCGTTCGCAACTACGTGCAGCCGATCTTGAGAACCAACGCTTCTAACGGATTAACTGATAGACGTGAATCTTTTCACCGGATCTCCACAACCCATCACAAACACCACCTTGGAGTGATCACGTAGCTTTCAACATGAAGGAGTGCTTTCAAATCACATATTCGGCAGGGTGGCTGACATCCAGCGCCCTGGAACAAAGGCGTGCCCGAGCCGTGCGTTCCGCTGCTGACCGCCAGGCACTCAATGTTCTCCTCGGATAGTACTATACAAAACGATTCATCAGTCGACGAGTGACTCTGTGGATGTTTCCCAGTGTTCTCCACACTCTTACTTGCAGCTGCCTCCCCATCTCTGTTCTGGCCTAAGCAAACTACAGGCTTTCAGATCCTCTGGCAGTGTCGTCTGGCCAGTTCCTCGGCGCGGCTGCTGAATCTGGCAGCCTGCACCATGCACAGCAGCTCAAGTCCAAGAGGCAGCTGGTGCGGCGGCAACTTGCTGACTTGCAATGATCTGTGTAGGGGTAGTTGCCACTGTGACGCACCCATGTCTTGAATTTTGACGCGCTGCTCTGCAAGCGGGGCCTGACTTCGCAACCCAACATGGCGGGCGCACTGCGCAAGTGCTTGGCCAAGACGAGCGGCAACCACAGCGCGTATGCTTTGGGTCACAAGCCTGCTGAGAGACCATGATCAAAGCATGGCCAGGCTTTATCGTTTCGGACTGAAGCTTCTGTGGAGTGTTCTCTCATGAGCAAGTCTCTTAAACTCACTCTCCACAGTCCCGACCCAACGACAAAACAAAATCTGCCGCCCGCTATCTGAGACGCGGAACTGAACAACACCAGAAAGACTCTAGTGTCGGGGCTTATCCATCTCTCGGCTGGGAGGTTTAGCCATGCTTGCTGCTCTTGATGCACGGCTGAGGACGTTAGGGCGGGCAGTGCGCGCATTTCTCATCCCGGTCGGTCGATTCAGAAGTATCCCGGTCGAGACTTTCAAAAGAGAAGCTGGCCTGTCAAAGCAATGCCCTTGCACCTGCCAAATGGAAGATGGAGTGTCTTGGTGCGATTGCTGCAAGAGTTGTTGGTTTGCAATCATCCAGGGCCGGAGAGTGCGATTCAGCTGACGGAGCAAGGCGTGGTCTTTGCTCTGACACAGGCTGCTCTTCCAGTGGTGGCCGCTGACGTGGAAGCGGCTCAGCGGTGCCCCTGCTGGCAGTGGACCCAGCCCAAGAAGAGCAGAGATTTTGTCGTAGGTTTGTCTTTCCATCAGTGCTTCTTGATGGATGACGACCAGCCGCTCACCAAAAAGACGCCGCCAATCCCTGAGATGAGGTATTGATTCCACGTCGGCCCACCGGATCAGGTCACCCACTGTCACGGTTTCTGCTGTCCTTGAGTGATGGAGCATTACTGTGGATGCTACGCGGCGAGCCGGTGAACACACAATCAGCACAGGTCGAGCATTCATCTGGTGTATGGCCAGGCGGGCGATGGAATGCTTCCACAAGACAGCATTGTGGAGTCCAAGCACTGAAGATGAACTTTGTCGTCTCGCATTGTTAAATTCAAGCCAACGCTTCTGAAGATACTTTGGTGGAAGTAGATGCCATGCGATTGCCCAGGTGAAGAACGTGTCTTCAAGAAGCAGTGGAACCTGTGATGTGGAGAATTCCACCTTTGGATGCAACCCCAAGTTCATGCGTGCGGAAGTTGTCCCACAGTGGTCAAGGCCAACAACTGCAAACTGAATGTTGAACTCTTCCCAACTGGAAAGTTCCACAAAATGCATGCTGTGTGGAGGTATCTCTGCCTGGAAACCCACGAAATTGGAGATGTAGTCCTCCACCAGTGGTGGCATCTGGCGCGTCTTGCAGATGCTCGGCGCACAAAAACCAATGCTCATCGGGCGCAAAAACGTAGCTTTCTCCCATCTCGCCCGTGAATTGGTGCCCGACGTGTTCGTCGGGAATTCGACGGACCAAAGCATCCCTCCTATCGCTCGACACTCTTCCAAGGCATGCACGGCTGCTAGGAATATCTCTTCAATCTCGTCAAAAGGGCGGCTATAGTACTCTCCCAGCTGCAGTTTGACCCGGGATACGGTGCCACCGAAGCCCGAGTTCTCCAAGTAGCTCTTCACACACGCATTGTACGCGTCTGCACAAATTGTCCAAGCACCACATGTCAGCGAGATGTAAAGGTGGCGCATATACTGGGCCGCCTTGCCTTCATGCAAACCTTGATCTGGCAATCTCGCGACACGAAGCCATCGACAAAAAAGACCTGGAAACGACGGCTGCTTCCTTTCTGCACATTTGAGGACACACTCACACCATGCATGCTGGCTTATGTATTCGAGGGTGAGGAAGGCTCGCGGTGCTGCAGATAGGATCCCAGGAGTGCATGTGAAGGCTTTGGAAAAGCACTTTGGATCCAGGTGCGCCTTGCGGCACTTCGCTTGACAAGGTGTCCTGCGCGCATTGCCACAAACTGCAAGTGGCTCCAAGTGCATCCGACGGCGCCGTCCTTGTGCGAGGGAGAGGCGCCTGCAGCCACACTGTCACAGTCGAGACAGTGCGGTTTCGAGCTTCGGAGTGTGAGGACTGAAGGCTTTGGCTTTCTCGAGGTCAAAATCCAAAGCATCTGAAGGCTGAATCTGCTGCCCGGCCTTTGCCTGGCCAGTTCTGCCCAAAGGCGCCAGCACAAGGTGGGCGACAGCAATGAAACTGGCACTGCGGCACTGTGCTGACAATGGGACGAGTGGCATCTGAATTCCATTCTGACATGCTGCATTCAATGTCCGCAACGACAGCTGAGGTGTGTTAGGGACCTGACCAAATGCCTGGGCTTGCACCGACTGTACCTGAGCTTGTCGGCTCCGGCTGCGCGAGATTGCAGGGCAGGGCAGTGCAGGGGGCAGGCGTCTGGGCGTGAGCTTGGGAAGGGGCAGTGGGTCGAGCTTGGAAGGGGGTACGTGCGGGTTTCAAGGTCTCCATCCGGGCATGCATGTCAGTTCAAGAAGCGCTGCTTACCGTAGCGATGCCGGCCGGCTTCAACCAATCCACGCATAATGCCTGCTGCGGCGCCCGAGTAGCGAAGGGTATGCCCGATACCACCAAGTGGCGCCGGGTGGTGCCCGGCATGTGTGTGTATAGTGTAGCACACAGGCGACGGGTACCATGTTGGTATCGCCATGTACATGCGCCGAACACGCCGGGTCGGCACGGACATGTGCGGGCATGCACATGGTGAGTTCGAGTATGCGTTGTGTGACGTAGCTTATGCTTGTTTGTTTGTTTGTTAGTCACGCACTTGCCGGGCTATGATCACTGTAGCACAGACTACGCAAAGCGTCAAAATGTTTGTTTGTTAGCTTGTTTGTATTTATACAGCTAACTATGTATGGGTGCATGTGTGATTTTAAATACCACATGTCTAAAGGTGGCATTAAGCCAACATTTAGCAGGTCGCTTGTTGCAAGACGGCATAAGCTTACAAACAGCTTCTCTCAGACGCAATATTGTATATATATATATAACTACATCCGTATATACATATATGAACAAACAGATGTGTACATATCTATATGTATCTGATATGTGTATATCAGGTGCTCGTGTCTGTGCATCTGTACATGCACACAAAATACTAGGTGCTTCTGTGCAGAAGGTGAAGTCATTGAGACTATATCACTATATGTTGTGTGTCAAGCATGTATATTCTGATATCTTCATTTACAAGTGTTCACTCAAAATATTTGGTTGTTGGTTAGGCAACCTACTCTTATAGTGATAGCAAAGTGTACATAGTACATACTTTATAAAAACGTTTCATGATACACGTCTTGGCCATATTATCTTATACATGATACAATGATACCAGTTCTTTGTACGATGTGGACATCTTCATCCTCAATAATGTTTGCATAGGTTTGTAATATGTATCGTACATCGCGCATGATCTATTGCAAACAAACCTGTGCACGGCCTGTATTAACTGCAGTCGCCGTTCTCTTCCATCTTTGTATACCGAATATTGTATCAAGCAGTGTATGTCGTCGACGACATATTGCAAACAGTAACTAACTACATATCATACCATAATTACATAGTACAACCTAGTATGCGAGCATGTCGTATACTTTGGACGATATGATGTGTCATGTATTAAAAGCGATGTAAGTGTTGTCAAAGGCAAACATATCTCACATATAAAAACGAACGCATAACAACGCATGGTAAGTACCATGTTATGAGCTAAATCCAATATGACGTGATGACATATACTGCTTCCTTCGTATGTCTGATAAAGATGCATATACAGGTTGAAGTGTTGTTGATTTTTGTTCATGACATGTTGTGCACCATAGACTCTGTACATTGTATATTCTGCATTAGAACATGTTTTGATGTTGCATGTCCTTTGACATGTGCTATATGTTACACATAAAGAAACAAACAGCACATGCTCAGTCTAGCGTAATATAGGGTGTATGGCTCATGGTTAATATAGCGTGCACATAGTGCAGCCTAAGTGGTATGTAACATACAGCGTATGTATACCTTTTATGTTGCATTTTGCATTCTGTAGATCATCCTTCCTAACTCTGTATTAAATAATATACTGTTTGCAGTATGTTTTGCAATGCATGCAGTGGTACATGGTTTACGTATGTTTCTACGTTGTTATATAATATATACCTCATATTCTGCTATATCTACTTGCGTCTAACATTGCATGTTGCATTTTGCATTGCTTGCTCTGGCCCCCTCGGAGCTTGCATTTCCCCACGTCGTTGTCGCTGCATTGTAGTACTCGAGCATACCGGAGTGCAGACAGGCGTACTCGAGCTTAGCACTCCGGGCTATTCGGGCGCACCGGAACACCACTACCATGAAATGTTCGCATTTCTTGAGTCAAGAGGCTCTAAGGACCAGTCCCAATCTCTGCGCGCGCAGCCGCCAGCGCCAAAAGCCAGATGATAGCAAAGAGCCCCGTCGCCTCGCGGTCTGCAGCTCCTTACGGCCCGGTACAGTCGGAAATCTCTGTGTCGCCGTAAAGTCGAACGCAAAGGAGGCCGATGAAACAGCAAACGGTCTGGTTTCGTTCTCTCTTGAGGCCGAGGATCCTTTCTTTGGCTGCGATGCCTGAGCTCCTCGCGTCGACGCAGGGCCTGATGCTCAAATTTCATTTATTGTGGCTGTCTACAGTTCTACAGGTAGGGAAAGGGTCATGAAGGGGCCAAATTCAAAATCAAGCGGTATCATGCTTCGGCAGATCCCGAACCCGGCGCGTGTTTCCAGCAGGCTTTCATGAAAGCCAGGACTTGAGGATCGAGCAGGGACACTTAGACTGGACCGCCTGGTTCCTACGCTGAGCGTTGAAGACCGGCCTGCAGCACTGAAGTGGTCCAGTGCTTCCAGAGGATCATCTGCAGCTGAACGTGTTCGGCATTCCGGGCGCTCTGGGAGATCCGCAGCAACTGGCATGCGGAAGGTCGTTATTTGCCAACACGACTTGAGCGGAGATCTCAATATGTACCAACGGGTGGAGCACAAGGGCTTTAGAGGAAGGAATACGAGCAACAACCCAACCCAACATGGGAAGTGTTCCACTTGGGACTTCAAATGTTACTTCAGCTTGGCTACTGTCTAGGTGTGGGCCTCTTAGAATTCCCTGAAAGGAGGAGCAAAGTACAGAAACCGCAGACGGGTGCCTTGCATCGGCCGCGCATCTCAGAGACATGGAAACACCAGCCGGACCAGATCGCGGCAATGAGAAGTGTCCGGCGCTTGTGCATGTAAAACTCCTCAGAACGTGAGCAATGCGGGAAAAGCATGGAAAAGCCACTAACCGCAGCTGCTGCAGCAACCCGCGGAATGCAAAATATGCGGATGCCGTAGCTTTCCCTGCCAAGTTCGGGTCGACTTTTCGCAGACTGCTTAAAGCCCAGGTCTACAAACCCAGAGAGGAGGCGAGTTTGCCGAGGTTCCGAGGCGGAGGCAGCCGCAGCCAAGCTCCTGAAGAAGCCACCAACTGCCGTCTCAATTGCCCAGCTCTAGGCTGCTTTTGGGATTTGCTGAAGGCGACATCTGCCTCTTTAGACAGCATAAATCCGAGATGCACCACCTGCCCCAATCCTCATCCTACAGCCTGCAAGTGCCACAGCTGTTGACCGCTCAATGGACCCTGGATCGATGCCTGTCGCAGGCGCGTGCCCAATTTGCCAAGACCTCTCTGTCCACCATGCGTGCCCAAGCGTGCACAAGGAAGCTCAGAAAGCCGTTGCGCTGAAGTCGCAGCTGGCCTGGAGAGAACTGCGAAACGCACAGCTGGTTGGATGGGTCCGGGGTCACTTGGAGCTTACGTAGAATGAGATGTCAGAGACACTCAGGCTATCCCTCAGGTGTGCATGTCTTGATCTCAAATTATCCCCAGGATCATCAGCACCAATGCTGGCTGCAAGACACTGCTGTTCCGGACGAGACGGAATGGGTGCAATGCTGGACTCTCCCAACTGTCCAAGCTGGGACACAGTGCGCCAAATCTCTGCGTCGTGCACGCTTTCGCGATTCTGCAACCAAACGGGCCCATTGCAGCCTCATCATTCAAGAACATTTGACAAATCGCGGCTGAGATGTTACAGGAGGATGCGGATGATGCTAACAGGAGAGAGCTTACAGTTGGTTGTGTCTCGAGCCTCGAGCATCCAGAATCGACCACTGCCGCAGGCAAACGCTAAAACCGATGCTGATGTTGCGGTGCTGGGAGTGTAGAGACAAGCGGCAGAACAGCAAGAATTTGTTGAGTAGCCTGCAAGCTGCACAAGGTTCGCATGCTCGATCACTGCCAATGCCATGTTGAGTATACAGTACTACACAAGCACGGAAATGCCTGGCTTGTCGCGGAGCGTTCCAGCAGCGCAGCTTGCATTCTAAGACCTCCGCGAGCTTCGCAGACAACCTTACAGACAATCTTACCGGTGTGTCCCCAAACCCAAGATTTTCATCGCAGTTCATGCCCTCACCTGAAGCTTGCGTTAAAGGTCGGTGTTTCGAACGATGAAGTTTCAGAGCATCAAGTCACGCGATGCCAAAGCCGTACCGCGAGCAAGCAGCCGAGGAAGGTCCTCAACATTTGCGTTTTGTGACCCTTTCGATTCTCGTTGACCTACAGTGAGGTCAGGCCTGTTTTAGACAGCACGAACCTCCACTCCACCCTTCCACCTGGGACCTATCATACTAAACTGGCTATTGCTCATGTCTGAAGAGAAGATAACATCGCAGCACCAGACAAGCCACAAGGATGCAAGCCGCTTGATCGTAGCTTTTTGCTGTCCGCTTTGGGTTGCAGAGTTGTGAGCAAGCCGAAATGGTCACTCAAGAAGAGACGCCCTGAACTGGAAGATGTCTCTTCTGTCGTTGACGTGGCATCCAGCTCGAAGTCGATACTCTTTCGGCATCCCGGCTGTGGCCGCTTCGGAGTCGGGGGTCGCTGGAGCCAGTCCTCCTCCATGGGCGTGAGCTTAACCAGGTGGTTCAAAGGCTCATCGCCCGCAAGGCGGATCTGTTCGGTCGTCCAAGCTTCCAGCTTCACCATGACACGATCGTAGCGCATCTGCTCGTAGTCCCCAATGTAAGGGTTCAGTCTAGAATCGAAGGTTTTACCTGGCTCCCCTGGCCTGAGAGTCGGCCAGACATCTGTGAAGTCCTGGAGGAGGCTCAGCGCATCATTCTCCAATGGCTCATGCGGAGCCTTGAAGTTTCGCTCTGAATCGAAGTTGAAGTCGCCAACCAGCATCGCGTTGGAGCAGGGCGCCAAGATGCCGGCACACTGGCGAAGCTGCTCCTCCCGTATGCGAGGATTCGCCAAGGACTCAAGGTGCACAGTCCCCACGGTGAGCCCTGGTACTTTTACCAACAATAGCGAGCGAGACATGGCAGTGGGCAGTGGGTGCAACTCGAACTCGGCACTAAATCCCGGCTGGACAAAGGCCATGACCTTGCCAGGGATAATCCTCGAACAACATTTCCCGTCGACCGCTAAGCAAAAGCAGTACCAGCAACACTTTGTACATGTAAGCTCTCTGAGGCACCCCATAAGGCTGTACAGTCGCGCTGTCGAGGCTGGAGTCAGAGCACTTCCATTCAGGCAAAGCCTCCTTCAGCTGCCGGGCGACCTAACACGAAGAAGGCAAAATGTCAGCTCAGCGCCCTTTGCCACGTTGAAACCACAAACTACAAAACTATACAAACCTATAATTACGAGTGACAAATCAGAGCATGTCCGGAAGACCTGGCCTGGGGCACTACTTCCTGGAAGCAGCAAACAGAAGGCGCCAGGGAATGTATCACCTTCGGGCAAAGACTGTCTCTCCGGTGCTGCACATACTTCGGGAACTTGTGGGCGCAGTGATGTCCCACCGTGCCTCGAGAAGTGCACGTGTGCGAGCCTCCCGCAGCTTCAGATCGAACCAAAGGTTGAGCGTCAATACAGTGAGGACCATTCAGCTCGGTCCATGGGAGGCCACACGGCTAGACGGGCAACACACCGCTGCTTCGCGATGTTAAACTCGCAATTATACTTACTGAGGACTTACTGGTGGCGGGCTCTGTTGCCGTTTTACGCTTTGATCCGCCACGCAGTCAGCGCAAACTGTAACCGTCTTGCAGGAATGATGGTCTGAGCCGATCTGACGACATGAACCGTGAGCTTGACCTCACACACGGAAAGCAGAACACGATCTCATTGTGCAGCTTTGGGGAAGTGTTGACTGTGACTGTGTGCCGCTTCTCCGATCTCTGCCGAATTCTCAACCAGTTGGTCAGCTAAAGTGCTGCCAGGTTTCGTTGGTCGGCTCTTTCGAGTATGCTCGAAGTCTCTACACAAGCCTCCGGCCACCGTATTACCACAGCCATGCAATGAATCTATGGACAGCTGACTCACGGACTCAGGCAGCCGGCCCTGTCCCCGTGCCTGAGGTAAGCCTTTGCCGCGCAGCCTCTCCCCGCCAGGCTGTCAAGAGCTTCGACTGAGCCTTTCGTTGCCGCCAGTTCCTCACTGGGCAACGGATGCAAAAGGCCTGCTCTCTCTGCTGGGATCTACAGTGTCAGCTTAGCAGCCAAGAGTCATCAATATCATTATCGACCGTTGACAGCGAGGTCCTAAGCGCATGCTTGACCGCCGCCAGACGAAGAACCTCACTTCAGCTCGCTCTGCTTAGCCCTGCTGACTCGGATGTTGTGTTTTGGTACCTCGCCTCTGCCAAGTGGCGCTATGGCCGTGACCATGCCTCCCTGCTCTCCAGCGTGAACTTTGTGCATCAGCAAATGCATCCATGTAGCTTGCCTTGGGCTCCAGTGGCTCCGACCCAACACTGCACGAACACTGACTGCGGCAGAAACTGCTCACTTGCCGAGTCCCTCCTCTCACGAGCGGCCCAGCCTCCGATGAGCGGCGGCCATGCGCCAACAAAGGACGAGCGGCCGCAAAGAGTTGCGACGATGGCGTGCCCTGGCAAGGCTGGGACTTCGGGCCTAGATCTTGAGAGGGTATGGAAGCGTCTATGAAAGCACCCACACACACACACATGTGGCCCTTTGGAAAGAGAGATAAACTGAGGGCCTTCTTGCCAGATCCTCTTGCTGCCGGAGCCGCAAAGCTCCTGCAGAGCTGCTCAAAGCTGAAAGGAACGAGTGTGGGAGTGGCGGTCCTTCGTAGCCCACAATGGACGGATTCAAGAGCTGGACCTAGCCTTGACCTCTACATTCAAACACCCGAAAAGCCTCTACGGCACCTTACCTTTGTACGGGTCTTTCGCCACATGGACATGCACAAACAATCTGACATACTTGCGCCTGTCGCTTGGAACCACCTGCTACAATATCTCAGGTCTACGACTCTTTCTATGATGAGTCGGCAACGAACCTGCACTTGTCCGGCGTGTCTCGGAAAATCCTTGTCGATCTATCATTTGCTGCCACTGCGTCTGCTTCTGCCGTCCCCATAAATCCCTGCAGATCTAGGTATTTATGAATGTCAATGCCTATAATGTATCCATCCATTTTGCGCCTCTCTCTTCCTCCAGCTCCCGCCGAAATTGCAGCATGCTGGCCTGGGCAAGCTGCTGCCTCGGCCACTCAATCGCCACCACCACCACCACCACCACTGCCACCACCACCACCACCACCGCCACCACCACCACCACCACCACCACCACCACCACCACCACCACCACCACCACCACCACCACCACCACCACCACCACCACCACCACCACCACCACCACTGCCACCACCACCACCACCACCACCACCACCACCACGACGACGACGACGACGACAACAACAACAAGGTACAAGGTACAAACAACAACTGCAGCCCCGTCAACCCATATATCTGCTTTTTGTCTGTACATTAGGTAGAGACAAAACAGGAGCCCCGTCATGTTGTTTTACCCCCCCAACAACAACAACATAGTGCCTGCGGATGCCTGTGATGTATACTGTTTGGTGTGTATTTTCAATGGATTTCGTCTGTATTTCAGTGGATTTCATGTGGTGGATTTGGTGTGTATTACAGTGGAGTTGGTGTGTATTCCAATGGATTTCGTGTGTATTTCAGTGGAGTAGGTGTGTATTCCAATGGATTTCGTGTGTATTTCAGTGGATTTCGTGTGCATTTCAGTGGATTTGATGCGTATTTCAGTGGATTTGGTGTGTATTTCAGTGGATTTAATGTGTATTTCAGTGGATGTAATGCATATTTCAGTGGATTTGGTGTGTACTTGCTGTGTATTTCAGTGCATTTGGTTGTGTATTTCAATGATTTTGGTGTATTTTCAATGGATTTGGTGTGTATTTCAGTTCCCCGCTGTGCAGATTATGCATTTGCGAGGCCTGTACACACTACTGTATAGTAACCGGTAACTATAGTTTTGAGTGTACGGGTGTCCAATGCAAACCCCTCAAAATTCCAGACAAGCCTTTCCAACACTTATCAGAACCCCTTCTGGATATCGCAGATTCCTATACCTATGGTGGAAATGTGGTGTAATGTGGGCGGTTGTTGTAAAGGGGGGGGGGGTCAAAACAACAGACGGGGCTCCAGTTTTTGCCTCTACTACAGGGGGTAGAGACAAAGTCCTGATTTCGCGGTTGCCTTTGTCTCCACCCCCTGTAGTAGAGGCAAAAACTGGAGCCCCGTCTGTTGTTTTGACCCCCCCTTTACAACAACCGCCCAGCCTACACCGCATTTCTATCATGGGGCAGTTGCTGTGTAAACCATGGCTTGCACTTCCCAAAACTCTACAGGCATCCTATGCGGTCGCCGGAAGCATTCCCAATTGCTTCTAAGTAACAACAAGTACGGGCTGCTGTTTTTGTCTGTACCAACAACAACAAAAACAACAACTACTACTACTGCTACTATTACTGCTGATACTACTACTACTACTACTACTACTACTACTACTACTACTACTACTACTACTACTACTACTACTACTACTGCTATTACTACTACTACTACTGCTACTACTACTGCTACTACTACTACTACTACTACTGCTACTGCTACTGCTACTGCTACTGCTACTGCTACTGCTACTGCTACTACTACTACTACTACTACTACTACTACTACTACTACTACTACTACTACTACTACTACTACTACTACTACTAGATCTGCTGCTGCTGCTGCTGCGACTGCTACTGCTACTACAGTACTAGCTGCCACGCTGCTAATGCTACTCCGACGACGACGACGAACTACGATCGCCACTCTTAAGAAAGGTCCTGGTACCTAGTACCAATACGAGTACTGCTTGCAGATACTACTAGTGCAAGTACTAGTACTTGTGCAAGTACCAGTGCTAGTACTCGTGCTGCATGCTCAAAAGCAGTGCATAGGTTGATCGGTGCTATGGTTCGCACCCGGAAAGATGAGTGTTACGTCGTTACTGGGAAGTTGTGACTTTCGTTGCGTTGGTGAACGTCCTGTCAAGGAAGATTGGAAGTCTTGGAATCCGTATGACGAGAACGTTTGACTTTCCCAGTCCGGAACTTGGGAGATCTTGGGAGTGGATCTGAATCCGGAAATCCGAGGCACTGCTCTTGCAAGGCGGCTTGTCGCAGGACTGCAAAAGCGTGCCGAAGGAGCGCACAGCGGCTGGCTGCTTCCCACTTCCTTTGCTTGGCTTGGCTTTTGGATACTTCAGTCTTGCTGCTTTGCAGAGCTTTGAGCCTGAGGTGTCTTGACAAAGCAGCACTGAAGACTCAGGACCAGAAATACAAAAGTACTTGAGAAGAAACACTTCGTCAGGCGGCGGCAACATGGCCCCGGCCACCAGCTGAGCGAGCTTCTTCCCCCGCATTTGGAAGACGATCTCCCTCTTTCTGCTCCTGCTGCGCTCTACCTCCAAGCAGAAGACCTGGAGGACCTTCCGCTTTGTCTTGTCAACTAACAACAGGTTTGCTGCAGACTGCCACATCAATCTCGGGCCTGGTGTAGCAGCCAGACATCCGAGGGAGTTGCAGAGTGCAAAAGGACTCTCCGTGCTGCCACCGCCTCTGGATCCATGAACACGTGAGCTCGGCGTGCCTGTCAGGTCATCAAGACAGCAAAAATCCTGACCAGGACCCTCCCACACTGTAGACAAGCCCAATAGCCAGTGCCACCTTCCGATTGCCATGCATCATGGCGAATCCGCGCCAGCCGGCATTGAGATAGCGATTCCGACGCAGTGCGGCCAACTGCCAAGAGATCTCTTACAAGAAGCCTTTAAAGGCTCGTGCTGGGCGGTTACTGCTCTGGCCCTCCGGGCCTTGGAAGAAAGCTGATCCTGGCACTTGGAGGCACGGGCCCGCTGCCGGCCTTGGCTTCTGCAGCCATGCTGGTGACGTGTACTTGTAGAGCACAGACCAGGGCGCCGCTCCCACCAAAATTAGAGCCAAGCCTCTCTGGCATGCGAGCCGCGACCACCTGCACAGTGAAACCTGAGCAGGACGCAAGCCGCCACTGGTGAAGCCTTGGGGCCTTGGCGGCCATGGGAGCCCTGAACAGCCCTGGAGAACTGAACCTTCGCTGAGCAGCCAGCAGCAGGCTCGAGCTCGTGGCAGCGACTGCTCGGATCACGTTGCTGGCTACAAGCTGCCTATGCCGGCATCTGTTGACCAACTGTCGCCACCCAGACACGATGGCCACGAGCAAGGCAACAAAGCCGAAACTGTCCTGAAAGGGCAAGATCCAAACGTAGCCTAGTGACCTCGTGTGCTTCTGGTTTCCATTCTACGCTCTTGGCCAAGGTCCCTAGGCCCGGGCATGATGAATCCCAGCGAGGTGCCATTGCTCGTGAAGGTCTGCGAGCAGGATGGGAACGTCGTGCAAAGAGAAGTATCTTCCATCCCTGGAAGGAAAGGAGGACTTGTCGGGCCAGTTGTAGATCGCCACTCATCTCCAAAAGCCGACTGCTGCGAAATCGTGCAAAATCCTCTGCTGCAACGTGACGCCACCTTGCCCAGGTCCTCTCAAGAAGCGCCCTTCGACAAAGCTTGGTGAGCTCTTCTTTGGATGCCAACCAACTTTGCTGAGAGCGTTCTGCACAAGCACGGCGTTCAGAATTGTCCCTTGCAGCAGACTTCCAACTGGCGAACAAAGTGTAAGAGTGCCGGCATGCGTCCTCAGCACCTCGACGTTCCAGAAATCTCCGTGCGCCAAGCAGAGCTCGAGTACGGAATGAAGAAAGCTTCCAGCTACGGAAAATGCTTCGCAAGGCTTCGACTTTTGCAGCGATGCGCTCTTGCCATGCCCTTAGCAGAGCCCTGAGTGCGACTTTTCCTGGCACCGTCAGCCTGCACACTGCCCTCACCAACGCCTGCGTTTTTCCGTTTCGGGCCTGTTGGACGCGGAGAAGATGCTGCCGAAGACAGTGCGTGTTCCAAGCGGACAGATATCTGTGCATCGTCCGCCATCGAACAGACTGCAGCCTCGAAGCGAGCCGAGAATTGAGCACTGTGTCAAGGCGTCGAAGCACGTACTCACGAGTCCATGCGCACCATGCGCGGGCGAGATAGCGGCGCTGGCCTCGCCGCAGGATTCGTGTCAGCCAGGACTGACACCATGGATTGTTGGAGATATTCTTTTCTCGGAGCGTTTGCACGCTCTTCTCTGACGAAGGTCGGACGACCGCCATGGCCTGAACGCTTCTGTCCACTGAAAGTCGCCCAGGCAGGAAAACTTGCAGACCCTTATCCGAAGAAACTCGGACAGGTCTTCTTTGAATTGTTCCGAAACGCAGCCGCGACAATGCTTCGCGCCGGCGTCCCTCCTCATGTCACGAGGCGGTGTCTGCAAAATATCAGCATGCACGCACTGCCAATGGCCACTTTCTGTGAGCTATGTGCGAACCGAGGCTCAAGGCATTTGTGCAAAACCCTCTTTAGGGCGACAGCTGCTGTCTTCCTGCACTGCGTCAGCCACACAGAATCAAGTCGTGTGCCCTCCAATTACTTTCACCTCCGAGCATCCCTCTAGCATGAAACATGCGGCGTCCTCGTCGCAAAGCCTTTGTGCCACTGAAGAAGAACAGCGTGCAGTTGACTCGCAACCAAGCCATCTGCCATTAAAAGGAACCTGCGCCATACAATGGCCAGCGAATGCCGGCGACATTCGGCTGCATAATTTGTACTACCAAGTACGGTTTGCAAAGCAACCGATGTTTTCTGGCGAGAAGCAAATTTCGCAGCGACGGCTTCGAGGCACGAAGCTGACGAGGAGGCGATCTTTGGCCTCGAGGTGAGCTTTCTGAGGACCTGCGAGGGACCACACTCTCCATCTTTGGCCCTAACAAGCTGTATCCTGCCTGTGCCTGTGTGTCTGTGTGTCTACGTCATGGTTTTGAGGAGATTGGGACATCCAGAAGAGTGTGCCTGAGCCTCAGTACTAATTAATGCTTTGGGAACTGCCGTGGAGAAGGTCTTGCAATGCCGGGACATCCCGGTGCCCTCACCGGCTCCGCTGCACATTCCCATTCTGTGAGTTGATGCTCCAAGACTTTATGGCCTCTCGGCTTCCAGCTACTACTGCAGCCATCAATCCGCTCCATGTATTTAGGTGCCTTGGAGCTTTGCGCCAACTTTGCCAGCTCTCCCAGCTGTGCTCCTCGGCTGCTTCCAGATGGCACTTGTAGAAGATAAGGAAGTGTGAGAACTGCTCAAGGTTGCCTTCATTCGTTTGCTGCAGCTACTTACCGACTCACGGCATTTAAGCTAGCTGACTTAAAATTACATAACAGTAGGACAGTAGGATACAGCGGGGTCAGGGGAGGTTTCAAGGGGTGGAGGACTCGGCCTCGCCTGTGAAGACTCACGACTCCGCCCCGGTGGAAATATCTATGCCGATCGAGCAAGACAATATGTGATTGCTCCGCGCATGGAATATGAATCCTGAGAGTAGGCTGTGCCTAGACTTATACACTATTATAGACTTATAGATCCCACAAGGGTTCTAATTCAAGCAGAAGTTGACGCCTTTTGACTCGTGTTATGGTGTTCGATGATCATCTGAGGACCTGCCATCCACCTGCTAGAGGCTGGACAGTCCTTCTTCTTTTCTACCACAGCCTTTCTTGGATCGGAGATTCATGGTATTTCAATTTACATAGAGGACATGGTCTTTGACGCATTCTTCCACTCATCCCAGAGCTCCTGACCATGGCTGGCGTCCGGACTGTCATGCCCATCTGTGCTCAGAGCACTTTGCCACGGCGATGCCGGAATGTTCCTTGCATAACAAGGTGCATTCACCATGTCGTAAACAAAAACACTGATCTCTGCACAAAGACTCTGCCATCGAGATGCAGTAATCTGCTCACATGATCGACGCCGTGAATTCGCTGTTTGTTGTCAGACCCATCTTTGCTTCGGCATTGGCTGAACCGGCTGCCTGGCCAGACAAATGATACAAGATGCAGCTTGGTCGTGCACAGGGCAGTTTTCAGACTTTGAGTATGGTACTGGTTGCTGAATCAAGCAGAGGCAGACTCGGATTTTGTGGTGTGGCTGGCGCGGATGCCACACTGCATTCAGATGCCTTGCGCCGCTTGCCGTTGCCAGCAGTTGAAGAGGTAGAGCAGCTGGTGTTTCATCCTCGTCCGAAAGCATAATGGCTTGAACACTTTATGCTTCGCCTAACACAGTCGTGAGGCAATACGCCGGCAAAGTGATTGCAATCCCGGAAGCTGGGCATGAAGAAGCTTCAGGCGAAGTGTTCTCGCCACTCCCTGACTCCACAGCTGCAGCTGCTCTTGCTTCTTCTGAGCCTTCGTCGCTAGTCTCTCCAGGTTGCAGAGCCGCTTCTAGGTTGTATGGAGCTTGATTCTCGTAAGCGCCGCTGAGCAACGGATCTTTGCATCAGCAAAGCGGAGCGCCGCCATCTCTGCCAACTTCTTGCCATTCTATGCTGACGCGCTCGCGAAAGAGAAAGGCAGAGGTTTACAGCTCCCAGTCTCTTCTGCTTCAGGTGGCCCAAGACGAACATGGACCGGCAACGAGACACAATCATCGCTGCCCAAACCACCGACTGTTCGACGTACTTGGTCACCAGACCCTCTGGATCTTCGCAGTGACTCAAGTCGCCTTGGCCTTGGGGCCACGGTCGAAGAGTTGGCAACTCCTTGGCGGCCTTGGCAGCCTCTTGCAACTGCTGCGGATGTAAGTGTGAAAGGAGCTCCCCCAAGCGCTCGAAGCCCAGAACGATCGGGATCAGCTCTCGGGGGCCTTCGCCTTCGGCGCCGTAGTCCACCTGTGCACGTGCTCAAACAACGGACCGGTTCATGCCGGGGTTCGGTGGAGGGTTGGGCGCCAGGCACGGCTCGGCGGCTAGGCTAGGCGAGCTCAGCTAAGGGACCTTTGAGACGAGGAGGCGATCTGCGACATTTTCTTGGCGTTCCGCATGCGGTACGACCCGCAGTGCTTCCAGCTGCTGCTCAGATCGGAAGAGGTCCTTGGACCCAGACTGGAGAAAGCAGGTCTTTCAACATGCAGGCCCAAATACCTTACCCGTCTCTGCCACTCTCACCTGTCGGGCAGCACGGTAAGACTCACTTCAGGCATGAAGCTGATCGAACCCGCGCAAGCTCTTGCTGCAGGTGAATGGTCTGAGCGGGAACTCCGTGTGTCAGAATGCAGCACGTGCCATCTGAACTGGACGAAGCAACAGAGTGTCTGCAACTCAGCATGACGAGACAACAAGTGCCTCCGACTGCAACGTCGAAGGTTCTTGTTCAGGCACTTCCCAGGGGCCGGGATGCATCACAGTGATGGGCTCTGCCTGCGGCTCATGTGATTCAGCTTGGCAGGTCTCTCAGTCCCACAAAGTCTAACCTGCTTCAGACGTTGTGAAGGTCAGGTGAAGCTGGGATCCGGCCTCGACATTCTGCCCAGTCCAGGTGTTGGGCTCCCAGCCATGCATGGCTTGTTTGGCTCTGCGGCTTGTGAGGCCGTTCCACTAAGCCCAAGAGACTTTGATGCCCTATGGAAACGTGAGCTTGATCCTGCTGTGCTCTAGACTTTCGCGGCTGGCCCCTGTTTCATATCTTATTTTATCTCTGTAACGCCTGTCAGTGAAATGCGGAGAGCAGACTTTTGCCGAGACTGCAGAAGCCTCGCAGTGCGTAAGCGGCATGGGCAATCTTGCCTGACTCTTCCCAGTGCTGCTCTCCTGAAGTGCTTCTTGGCACGCCAGCTCGCCGTGACAAAGCTTTTTTGCAAGTCTGCGTGGGGAAGCTCGCGCTATCCTCTAGAGTTTGCTTGAGTTGGAAGTGTGCTTATGAGTCGAGTGTTGTCTGGACCGCCTGCGGCTCATCGGTCCTTTCTGATTAGACACATGCCCCAGCTCCAACTTAGGCTTGTGGGAACAACTTGTCTATTGATCAGCTTGCGAGATCTCAAACTTCTACGTTGGTGGTGCTGCCCCAGGCTTTGGCATTGATGCGCTTCATCATCGCCTGCCGCGTACATATTGCACATTTGTTGCGAAGAACTTGCAAAGAAGGTGGTTCAGTCGATACAAGGCTTGCCAGGCACATGTCTTCCATTACGTCCATTACGCAGGACCCTGTCATGGCAGTCTAAACGCAGGGTGCCGTGAAACATGTGAAATACAGAGGTGGAACCTCTCCAGGAACAGCATGTCTCTAACAGCACCATGTTCTCGCTACATCGAGATGGAAACGCCAACAGCCAACAGCTCACACTTCAATGTTAGTGGACTACATTGACTACATCCGGAAAGGCCACAGCTTGCCTTGATTTGCTTGTTCGGGCCGCACTCGTAAAAGTCGGTGAGGCCAGCCTGTGCTGTCCGGTTCAGCGCATTCAAGCAAACACTTGCAGGCTTTCTGATGGCTGATAGCTGTTGCCACGTCAGGAAGGGGAGGAGACTTTGGCAAAGGACACTTTGGCCTCGAGCATCTTCTGCATGGATGGTTCCCAGAGGACTGGGCTGGTGAGCTGCTTCTTAAGCAGGTCCACCACGGCCTCTTCTGCCGAGCAAGCAGGCACACTCGGTTCGTTCTATCAGCTTTGACTTGTGAACTGACACTTACCCGCTGCACTCGCAGCAATATACTTAAGCTCATGAAGTGTCTTCTTAAACAGTGGCCTGGACTGTGCTACAGGACAGATGCGGGCTTTCCAAACTTCGAACTTACGAGGCAGCCTGTGGTGCAGTGCCAGGCATCAGGGGCTCGGCGGTGGCGTTCATGTACACCGTCTTCTTCAGCCTCTGGACAGTATGCCACTATGGGTTTGAAGGATCATGTGTGCATACACGGGCTGGGACCAAAATTGTTACACGCAGCTAAGATATATTAAGATCCTACACCGTCCTGTGAGCTTCTGGAAGCATTCATCCGACAGTTAGGAAGGCATTTGCTGCCTCGCAAAACAGACGGGTTTTCCAAGGACAGGGCGGCTGCATGCCGGGAAGCATCTCATCCAGCGCCTGCTGGGGAGAAAGAAACAACATAGGTTGAAATGTGCCAACAGGGGCCTTTCTGGCCCCAAACAAAAAACCGGATGCGCTCGACGGCAAGAACTCCAAACGAGACCGGACACGCAATGGAAGCATCCTTAATTTACACATCTGCTTGGAGCCGCACCCCATGGAGGCACGACTGTCTGCACTCAGCCAGCCTTCGCCAGTCTCTGCTTGGCGGGCTCCATAAGTGAGGTGTGAAAGCCTCCGCTGGTTTTCAGCACCTGGATCTGAGAGGGGGTGGATGCTGTAGCTGTTAATATGTAACGTAGTCGCAGGGCCTGCTGCAGTCCGAACAGACGCAGTGGGAAGATCACAAAACTTAGTGGTTACGGATCTGTGACCGAAACCTTCTCGATGCTTTGACCGAAACCCGACAAAAAAGCACCCCTGGCCCTTCTCGTGCAGAGACAGGCCTTGGCTTGAAGTGCGCCGTTCTTTTCTGCAAGATCCTGTAACAGCAAAGCTAAGGAAGCCTGCTTAGTCGGACAGCCCGAACAAGACCCAGACCCGAGCTGCATCCTTAATTCGCAGGTCTTGAGAGGATTCAGGGCGTCTACCCGAGGCCACAAACTAAATAACTATACTTGCGGCAACTGACTTGACGAAGCTGTGTTGGAAGACCAGAGGTCCTTGAGGATGTTGATGGCCTTCTCGGTCCCCGCACAGGAGAAACCTCGGAACAAAGGCAAGCTTCGGTGTCAACAGTGTCTCAACCGAAGCTTCGTCTGAACCAAGGAAGGTGCTGGCAAAAAGGCTGAGAGGATCAGGTGATGCTGAGCGGACGGTTCAGAGTTGCGTGTGTTCAGCACAGGTTTTGGGATCATCCGCTCCCCATCGCCCGTCACAGCAAGAATCCGCGGTCCTCTTCAGACTGAACTCATGGTAGAAGCGGATACAGCATGCCAGGTCCGGGGCCCTTCGGGAAGAGTTCATTCGCGATTTGGCACACCGCCTGCCGAGAAAAAGATCTCAGGTGCTCAAGCTGCAGTCAGGGCCCGACTAGAGATTAGAGGGGCTGTGGTTTTACATCAGTCTGTGGTTGTACGATCAACAGTACCTTGGGGGGATCTTCTAACATATTGCAGCCTTGGTTACTACTTGGCTTCTTACTGCGCTTTTTTGTGGCTGTTGGTTGGCTTCCGAGGCTCGACTTTGCCTGACGAGTGCAAAGAATAGGGTAGTCAAATACACAGAACAAGTAGACAAGACAAAGTAAGCAGCCAAGGCACACGAGAAAGTAGGCAAGTGCTCAAGATGAAGGAGCAAAGTGCGCACGAGAAAGTAACAAAGAGCCTTAAAACAAGGCCTTCCAGGACCTGGCAGAATGGACTCTCTAACATGACATTCTTCGAAGTCACGGCTTGCTCACCGCGAGAGCTGCAGCTTCCATGCAGCTACAGCTAAAGGAGAGGTCCTGACCGCCCTCCTGCTTGCGGGCGTCTTCACCTGCAGCGCTGTATGTATCACAGCTCCACACCTACTAGGACTAGGTGTCTCTCCGCGGGCCAGTTTAGTGCCGCTTGCTCTGCCACTGCTACTCATCCTGAGGGCAAGCACAAAGGCCCGACAGCTTGGGCTTCTCAAAGCCGGCGACGGAGAGCATGGCCTGCGTTTGTCACATTTTTCGCCACGGTCTGGCCGAACAGTCCAGCTGTGAGGGTGACGGCGGTCAGGAGTTTCGGACGTCTTCGGGCTGATGCCCTGACCCTCTGTGCCGACTCTGTGCGCCGCTTCGCCTATGGACGGAGACAAAGACAAACACACAGAGCCGCGGATACAGAAACACAGGCCACGAACAACTCTCATCTAAGATTCTATACGAAGCGGCGTCGATGTAATGTCGTAACGAAGCTTGTTCTTTTGCCATGGAGAGTGAAGAGCGGCGTGAGTTCGTTCGTGGGGTACCACCTCTACCCAGTTGCGGAGCCTGCTTGCCAACAGCGGCAGCATCCTGCATTGCTTGGCCGCCTGAGCCATGCTGAAGCTGCTAAACAACAAAGCTCACAGCCCACAACGTGGCCGACGAGGCAAATCCCTTTCATCCTTGAAGTGTCTCATCGCTGCAAGCTCCCGGCGCAAGCTGACAAGCTTGAGCCCCTCCTGAACAGGACGCGTCACTTGTCAAGTAGGAGGTTTGGCTTGCAGGATGCGGCTAACATTGGAGCACAACCCACCGCACAAATCCAAACCGGGGGGTGGGAGAACAAGGTGAGGTGCATTGATGCCGTGATCTGCATGATGGCCAGTGCTTCTGCACGCGAGAGGTGGGGAACTGCACTAAAGGGATCCACACACAGGCAGCGGAGGGCAACGGCGGGACCATACCAGTAGGGTTCGTATACAACTCGGGTTTGTTTGCAATGTGACTCCTTCGGCTCGCATGTAGCAGCTTGGCAAAAATACATTTTCACAGCTTTAGCATTCAGCGGCATGCAGATGTAGGAAGGGCTGGTCACTTCCAGCAGGGATACTTTCAGCTCGGACCACGACAAAACTCGCATGTGCAAGTTCTTTCTGGAGGTACCGGTCGCCCGAATCTTGGACAAAAACAGCAGTCTGAGAAATGGGAAATCTCTACTTACGGTGAGTGTCGACATCTTATAAATAAACCCTCTAACCTGACTCCGCAGCATCCCTCCTTCCAAGCCGTGCTTTGCTTTGCGTCCTTTTCGGCCAAGGGCTGTTACTCCAGCGACGGCCGTCAAAACACAATTTTCTCTACTTCTGACACCAGGCTGCGCTTCCTGAGGAAGTCATGCGCCAACCGTCGCCAAGCGCTGTGACGGATGAAAGACAGCAACAAACGATAGCTTCGAATCTGTGCAGCTGAAGACACTGCTCGCGTCACGAGCAGCTCACTTTCTGACTGGCCACAGCTGCTTGCCGTTGCGGTGGAAAGCTGCGCATTTCCTGAGAAACAAGCCAATTCATTGATCTAATCTCACGTGGTGCCCATCTGCTATGCATTGGAGCTTGATCAAACCAATCGAGTTGGGAACAAGCCCTTCGCTGGCCCTGGAGGAAGAAGCTCGGCTGAATGACAAGATGCGAATCTTTGACTACGAAGTTCGGATCCGAAGCAAACTTCGGTGCATACTTCGAGGTGCCGAGGACTTTCCTGCCACCAGCAGAACACCCACTCTTAAGTCGCAAGAGCCCGGACGGGCACCAAGAGATAACCGCTTTCACAAACCCTCTGAACAGGAACTGCAGACTTGCGATCTGAATCAAGCCATGGCCGGTCCTCAGGTGAACGAAGTCTTCTATGAAGTGCTCCTGAACCTCGGATGACAGAAATCATCACTCTGGAATCTTTGTGTTTGTTAGCTCCTGTGCACTCGCCGTTGCAGTCCAGCGTTCGGGGGCCATCGCAGGGGAAGTTGAGCGGATCTTGGATCCATGAGATAGCGCTGAGAGAATGTGTCTTTGTG